ATTTACTTGTAAAGTGGGCTCAAAGAGCTGAATGGTCTACTCATGCTTCAATTTCTTCTGTTTTTATGACAGATCAGTTGAGTCAAATTGCCTGTGTCTGTGCTGTTTACATATTACTATTGATTACTATTTACAAAATCAAATTGAAAGTATTCACTTAATACTCTGACAAAGAAATAAGTGCAGAAGTGATGAGAAATTTTCAGGAGAGAGGAGATCTAAAAAGGGGAAGCAAGACAAGAGCAGAAGTTAGGATTGGGGTTCAGAATAATTGAGGGCAGAAGGCAAGGAGAGTATTGGATGATGAAAAGTAAGGAGAGGAGATGTTTTGTGATGAAGGTTCATGATATTATTATAAGGAAACTTGGGTCCTAAAGTGTAGAGAACCATGTTTGATTTATGTTCCCATATTGTGTATGTTAAGAAGGATATTTTAGTTTCATTTTGAGTTCCAGTTGTTTGAAGTTTGTTTACGTGGATTTAGATGTGCTCTATAAGAAACCCCTAAGGTGAATATGTTAATGTTTTCTAAATCAAAATAGTGAATACGGAAATACAGACAGAAACCAAGTACAACTGTGCCAAGTGAACAAGGAATTTTAAAGTGAAACAGGGTAATTGTTCACTGGGGTTTGAGTAACTTTAAGGTTGCTTTTGAAAGTAACAGGGATAAATCCACATTTTTGACATAAGGAATAAGACTTTTCAACTAGCTTGTTTTATGGCATAATAGCTTGTTTGTTTATGCTGACCACCACTGTAACCAAATTATAGAAATAAAGCTTGTGGTCTATCAAGTCAGGTTTTCCTTTGGGATCTGACTTATATAGTATTAACATCAGCTGGAATAATAACATTTTATTTTATTTACATAGTACATGAGACAATAAGTCAATCAAATGCACGTGAATTAAATTGCTAATAATCATTAGGACTGTGACTATAGAGCATGACGTAGTTAATAACTGTGAAATTATAACCGCTTTTAGCTAATAGTTCTCCCCATCAATCATTGGTTGAGAAAAAATTGTGATGATTTTTCAAAATCTACCTTCAAATTGTATTAAATGGGATGACTGAAATTTTGTGGAGTGTGTGAGTAATAACCTGGACTTAGGTAGATTCAAAAGCTGGGCTAAGCTTTGATAAATGATATTTATTGTTAATAAGTGCAATGTGGTTGGGATAGGGTAAAAGAGTCTCAACTCTACCATTGTAACAAACACATAGGTCTAAAGAATACAGCCTTGAAAGAAACCTGGACTGCTGCCGGACATGTCATTGAATCCTTGCTCAGGGGATGGAAATCAAGTAAATGCAGTAAGAACTGCCTGGTATTTAGTTTAAGCTGATAGTGGCAAGTGAATTTGCTCCACATAGTGTCAGGAAATGACCACCTCCAGCAATACAGACTCTAACCGGCTCTCTTTAATGTTTAATAGTATCACAATTGATAAATTATCATGAATAGCTCCGGGCTGCTATTGACTACATCTGGATCAGCCATACTGTGGTAGCAAGAGCAGGTAACAGGCTGGATATTCTACGGTGAGTAATTCACTTCATGGCTTCAAAGCATTTCCACCATCTTCAAAGCACAGGTGTGGATCTTGACAAAATACACTCCATTGCTTGGATTTGTACAACTCTAACATTCAAATGTTTCACACCGTCTAGGATAAAATAGCCAACTCGATTAGCATCTCATCTAACATCTCAAGTATTCATTTCTCCCAGGATCAGCATACTGTGGCAAGTGTGCACCACCTATAAGATGCACACAACAACTTGCCATGCTCCTTCAAAAATATCTTCCAAACTAACACTGACTTCTTCAACCTCTCCCTCCTACAATCTGAAGTCCCCACTTGCTTTGAGAAGACCACCACTATCCCAGTTCCTAAGTAAGCACATGCAACATGCCTTAATGACTATTACCCAGTGGCTCTTACCTCCATAATCATGAAGTGCTTCAAGAAGGTCATCATGGCCCACATCAATTCTAGTCTTCCAAACTGCCTCGATCCCCCGCAATTTGCCTACTGACATAACAGGTCCACAGTGGATGCCATTTCCCTAACTCTGTACTCATCCGTGCGACATCTGGACAACAAGGACAGCTACATCAGACTCCTGCTCATCGACTACAGCTCTACCTTCAACAGAATTATCCCCCCCAGACCGATCTCAAAACTCCAAGACCTAGGTCTCAGCTCTGCCCTCTGCAACTGGATCCTCCGCTTCCTGACCCATAGACCGCAATCAGTGAAGATAGACAACTGCACCTGCTCCACAATAATGCTCAGCAATGGAGACTCCTAAGGATGCATTTTCAGATTCCTGCTGTACATCCATGACTGTGTTGACAAATTCTGAATGAACGCCAACTACAAGTTTGCTGACGACACCACTGTGGTAGGATGGATATTGAGCAACGAAGAGTCAGAATGCAGAAAGGAGATAGAGGGCTTGGAAACTTGGTGCAATGATAACAACCTCTCTCTCAATGTCGGCAAAACTAAAGAACTGATCATTGACTTAAGAAAGAAGAGAACATGCCCCTATCAATGGAGCAGAGGTTGAGAGGGTTGAGAGTGTCAAGATCTGAGGAGTGACAATAACTGACAATCTGTACTGGACTTCCCACGTAGATGTGACAGTCAAGAAGGCACAACAATGCCACTCCTTCCTCAGGCAGCTCAGGAAATTTTGGCATGTCAATAAGGACTCTCACTGGCTTTTACAGATGCACCTTAGAAAGCATACTGTCTGGGTGCATAATGACCTGGTGTATGACTGATCTGCCCAGGACTGTAAGAAACTACTGCAGGTTGAGTGCACAGCCTAGACCATCACGGAATCCAACCTTCCGTCTATGGAATCCATTTACACGTTTTGTTGCCGCAGAAAGGCTGTCAACATCATCAAAGACTCCATCCCACCCTGGTACTGCTCTACTACAACCTCTTCCATCTGGCAGAAGATACAGAAGTTTGAACACATACACCAGCAGGTTCAAGAACAGCTTCTTCCCTGTCATTATTAGACTGTTGAATGGACTCTCTAAGTTCAGATAATATTGATCTTGTTAATGTTGTTCTCACCTCATGCACATCCTGTGGGTGTAACCCGTATCCCTCACTTGTGTCCAAGTCTTTTCTCACCCTATAATCTGTATGGCCTTGCTTACTCTGATCTGCCGGTACTGCTCAGAAACAAAGACTTTCACTGTACTTAGGTACACTTGACAATAAATCAATTCAAATCAAATCAAATCAACAACCTGCAGCATCTAGAAAATTAAGGGCAACAGTGTATGAGAACACCACAACCTGCAAGTTCCCTGCCATGTAGCAAACCATCCTAGTTTTGGAACTATATCACCATTTCTTATTGTCAATCCTGAAATAGCATACCTATACCAGATGGGCTGCAGCAGTTCCAAAAGACAACTCACCACTGCCTTCTTGATTAGGGAAGAGATGCTAACTTTACGAGTGATGTCCACATCCAATGAACAAATAAAAAAATGGATCGCACGTGTGACGATACTATGGCTTTAAAAGCTGTATTTTGTCCTTTATTTTAAGGAAAGGTTTAAGACAGAGGTACAGAGCTGTCTATTTGGATCCAATAAAGTAAACAGCTTTTGCAGCCTTGCAGTTTTATTTTTAAGTTGGAACAATAGAAGCATCCTGAATGGGTGGGGTCAAGCTCCAACAAAACCAGGACTTTTAGTTTTCAGCAATTGTTGCTGGGTTTTGAAGCTGGATGGAAGCTGCAGTATATCTCTCCCTGCTACTTTCTCTCTCTCTCAGAGTTGTCTCTTGCTGTTTTTCTTCTTGGACTGGAGAATCGCCTATGAGACAATCTATTCTTCTGAACTTGCCTTTGGCCAAGTGTGTGTTTATGGGATTAGTGTATTGAAACACTTACTGTTTAGTCGTAAAATAATCTATTATCCTGTTACGTATCCCAATAGAGTTAAAGTTTTCCAATTTATTCTTTCTTTTGATGTATTTTAGCTATTGTGTATGAATAAAGTGTGTTTTGCTTCGAATCTGGTAGTATGACCAGTTGAGTTGCATCCGGACACCACACCTTATACTTCAATAAAAAAAAAAGTTAGGGTCTAGATTATGTTCTGAATATATTTGGAGGGTGTTTGGTGGGGTCCATAATACATGGAATACAAATCACAGAAGCTGATGGTGGGACTGTCTAAGGCATTGTTTCTTTCAAATCTGTATTAGTCTGTAGTCTAGTCATCATGCTACAGGAAGGACTTTGTAACACTCAAAATGGTGCATTAAAGGGCGAGTGCTCCAATATCTAGATATTGAACACGCAACCTACTCATTGGATGTGTAAACTGCAGAACCAAATTTGTTGATACAAGAAAAGTCTGAGAAACAATATTATTTAGATATTCAAGATCCTACACCGAACCTGCTGGACCTTGAGAAGTTGTTGATCCAATAACATAAGGCAGATAATCGAATCACAGAACAGGGGAAATGATGCAACAAAAAAGGTACAATTACTTCAAATGTAATGAATGTTCAGAATGATCATCTCAGACAGATGATTAAGGCCGATAACATCAGCCATTTGATGCAAAAGTCAACTGAAGGATTTTGGTGACGAGCTGCAAAGACTATATTAAATTATGTGCTTTGAAGTTCTGAAAAAGGATCACCAGACCCCAAACATTAACTCTGCTTTCTCCTGATGAGTTGCTCCAGCAATTTCTGTTCTTGGTTTGATTAAAATCTGGCTTTTGCTAAATAGGCCTTTCCAAGTCCAGTCTGTTCCGGTGTTTCAACTCCCCCATTGGAATAACAGACTGGGAAAATTGAAATATTTTGCACTTTTATGTTCATGTATTTAAGAAAAGGCATGGCTAGTTTGACAGAAATAAAACAAAACACCAAATATTTTCAGACTTTTATTCTAATTGGTACATTGTCTTAAAGAAATGTGGCTTAGATAGACTGAGCAGTGTCTGAACCATACTTCCTACCCACATATTTAAGATGAAAAATTTTTGACGCAGCAATGGATCCAGATTCTTGATTTCCATTAACTGACACCTTTATCTAATAACTAAGCTTGCATAGTTAACAAGGTAAAGGCCTAGTTCAAAAGTAGCATGTGAATGGAATCAAACAAAGAAATTAACAGCATATATGTCATACCTGAAACACATCTTGTTTTTAGATACCCAAATTTGTGAGAAGAAAGTTATATTTGTCTGAGTTAAGGGGGGGAAAATGCTATGTTTTCATTCGTAGTTAACAAATGGTATAATGGTTTGCTCGCAGTGCAACATAAACAAAGAACTACAAGCCTTGTTTCATGATTTTACAATTACTTCAATCAATATTTTGGATGCTTCCTTTATGAACTGGTTAGCTTAATTGGTGAATACGGCTGAAAATGTGACTGTAGAGATAACTGCCAAGTTGAAATTGGTGGCTTTGAGTTTTTGATTGTGGGTCCTGGGGGATTTAAAATCTGTTTGTTCCTGTTATGGGGCTACACTGGCATTTGAAGGAATGGGCTCATATGAATCAAAACCGGAGCCGGAGCCGGAGCCGGAGCCGGAACTAGAGCCGGAACCAGAGCCAGAGCCAGAGCCAGAGCCTGAATCAAAGCCAGAGCCATTTTCAGAACCAGAGCCTGAGCCGGAGCCGGAGCCCGAGCCGGAGCCGGAACCCGAGCCGGAGCCGGAGCCGGAGCCCGAGCCCGAGCCCGAGCCGGAGCCCGAGCCGGAGCCCGAGCCAGAACCAGAACCATATTCATAACTGGACTTGGAACTGAGGCCGAAGTCAGAGCCGGAACCAGAGCCATCATCTTCAGGATGTGTTGGGTCTTTACTGCCAAAATCAGGATTGTAATAATCAGAACCTCCTGAAAATCCCGGAAATGTTTCCCTGGAAATAGCTGGATAACAGGAATCAGGATAAAGCAGAAAGCCGCTGAATGTGCTGTCTGTATCCTGATCTGCATATATACCATTGAAATTAGAATCCTTTACTTGCAACCATATTTTGTCCCCTGCTTCAAGGTGTACTATTAAAGTTTGGGAAACATGGTCCCTGGTAACTTTGTTAGCTGTTTTGATAATTAATTTACGGTTTATGAATAATCCTAGTTTAACGGGATTTTCATCCACTGACAAATGATAACTAAATATATATGATCCATTGACTGGGGCAATGTAAACTCCAACTGCAGGATTGAAATGTCCTTGGATGTTGTAGAAAACAACAGTAAATGGTATTGGGAAAAATGGATTTGGTAAGCCTTCTTCAGGACTTCGTCCAGCAGAGAATGCAGATTGGATAGTAGGAACGCATGGGCCAGCTGGTCCTATCTCACCTTCTTTGCCCCGTTCACCTTTGTTTCCTTTTTCACCCCTTTTTCCTTGCTCACCCTTTGGCCCTAGATCTCCTTTGTTTCCCTCTGGTCCAGGGGCTCCAATATTTCCGCGTTCACCTTTTTCTCCATCCACACAGTTACAGATACCTGGGTCCCCTTGATGACCTTTTATTCCTTTATGTCCTTTGTCCCCTTTCAGTCCAGTGCTTCCTGTTTCGCCTTTGCTGCCAGGATGCCCAGTCAAGCCAATTTCACCCATTTCCCCTTTTGGACCGTAGGGGCCTCTATCTCCTTTGGGTCCTGTATTTCCTTTTAAGGTCTGGCAACTAGTTGGACATTGGCCAGGTAAACCTGCACTTCCCTTAAGACCTGGCAGTCCATTAGCACCTGGGTTACCCCTTGGACCTAGAATCAAAACATGAAAAGTTATTAATAGAAGACATTCTCATATGAGTTCATAAAATTATATTAAATATATAAAAATTAATCAGAGAAGAAAGTATTTTGTTGGTGCCACAGGTTGGGATTTATTACCCCATGCTGGGCACGGTTTTGGTGGAAGATGTGGGAGCAACATAAAATATATTGGGTAGCTAGAGAACCACCTTTTCACCCACCCCCAAACCAGTCTGCATAAAACAGAAGGTAGGTAGTCACTGAAGTCAGCAGCTCACCTCCCTTTAAAGAGAAAGGTAACAGACTATTGATCATATTAACAAGGCAACAGACCCAGATAATAGACTGCCCATGTCTTATGATTGGAGCGTGCAGGTGGGTGGGTATCAGAAGTTCATTCATTGAAAAAGTGGGCCTTTTGACTCAATTTAGAAAGATGCGTTTGTGGCAGTATTGTTACCTAAACATTAGCTGGCAGTGGTGGGCAATAGGGAATTCCAATGGGAATGCTACTACTGATAACTTTAATGTCTTTGAAGACTAATGCATCCTTACTCAGCTACATAACTCTTTCAGTGTCAGATTTATCCAGCTCCAGGAGCAACACTCCTCTTCTTAGCAGGTATGGTTCAGCATTTTCCCAGAGCTCAAATAAGAAAGTCAATCAACATTGTTTGTTTCAAGTTGATTCTCTCTCCTTGTCTCCTTAAGGTGCAAATCTTTTACTGAGTTCCACAAGGACTAGCAGCTATTTTCACAAGTAAGATAAGAAAAATTGTAAAGACAAGTGAAAATTAAACATTTCTGCGACTTGCCTCTAAGACCGCGGAACCCCCTACGTCCTCGAATCCCCTTGAGTCCCATCATGCCCCTTGGCCCTCGAGCACCTTTTTGTCCTGCAATTAGAAGAAAGAAAAATAAATTCAAATTGCACGGAACAAAATCTCAAAAGACCAGTCCCGGTGGTCACGTTTCACTTGGTATTTGTTAAAATGATTAGATTACGGCATTTTGTAAAAGAAATATGTTACAGGCAGAATTGATTTCTCTTATTCCAGCCAGTAAAATATATTTTCTGGGAGTGAAATTGGTCTTCAATAGAACAACATAGGTTTTTTTTTTACGTTCTGTGCATTTGACTTTTCCTTTGAATTCATGATATAATAAATGGGTTACTTTCGAAAGTGGGCTGTCAATTCGCAATCATTCATCTTGAGCCACTGAAAGAAACCAATTTCACCTCAAGTCAACACCTGTAATATATATAAAACATAGACCATTCTTTCCATTCCCTTTCCCCTGAATGGGTGACTTTTGTAGCAGCACAATATAACAAGGATGATGGCTCATCAGTAACTCAACTCAAGTCAGCACTCTTCAGAAGGGTGTAGCAGGCTATTTGAATATGGATGGCATCAAAGATAAGCCTAATTCTATCTTCATTCAATAAACATATAGAAACATTCTCTTGCACTGGTTCCAGAGTAGCCATCATAATTGGAGCTGATTGCAGAATCCTAACTGAAATCAACTAATTTACGATATTATTTTCTACTATTTTAGTTATTAAAACATAGGAATATAGGAGTAGGAATAGGTTATTCAGTTCACCAAGGCTGCTTCACCATTCAACTACATCATGGCTGATAATCTGTGGCATTCCACTTTCCTGTACTATCCCCATCTCCCTTGATGTTATTAGCACTGTAAGCTAATGAAAACATAACACATACAAAAGCTCTGTAAGCTAATATTGTAATAATCACTGAATTACGTAATTGTGCTTTTACTTTTTTTATACACTAGTTGTGGTGAAGGTCTGCATGCTGGGCATTGAAAAAGAAATTACTATGGCACATTCACAGCAACAGAAGGGTATAAACAATCTGGGAAAAAAGGACTTGGTGCTGCAGACACGTAGGCTAATTTGATCACCTACTTGAAAATAATGCCATACTAGACCTGTCGGTGGATTAACCACCTGAGACAGACCTTAGATCGTGGAACTGCTAAACAACCGATGTCATTATGACTACATACTATTGTTTAGTAGTGTAATAAAGGGTCTGAATGGCTGGTTGCAATGCAGAGTGACCCAACTGCATGTGTTAAATTCTTGCATCAGCTGACATTACCATGAATGATTCTCCTTCCAACCTACCCCCTCACCTGAAGCATGGTGACCCTCAAGTTGAACCACCTCCAGCAATCCCTTTCTCAGAGAAGCAGCCCAATGGTTTGGTAAAGCTGTGGCAGTTTACATTACTATACTACAGGAATGAAACTCTACCCAAGTTGTTGTGTGTCATTGATATATGGACCAGAACCATAAGATGCAGAAAAGGACTGCATTTTTCAGTGATGGGCCAACCAGGAACAGGATTGGGCCAACCAGGAAGAGGATTATCTCAGAAGTGGATAATTGAGAACCTGAAATGGAACAGAGCATGGAAGGTTCCATTTATATGCCTGTACTGAGAAGGACTGTGGATACATTAGACTTAGATAGGAGTCAGAGATCACAGAGATTAATTTTGGAGTTCCACAGTAACATAGATTCCTGTTGAAAATAGATCAGACAGGGTAAAGTACTTTTGTATAAGTCTTTTCTTTGTGTATGTATTTTATGGGACTATCCTGTTCTTTGGCTGTCTGCCCTTTCAAGCCAGCAGAGATCATCAACCCTCTGTGATCTGATCCTGTATGTTTTAAGCAGTTGAGTGTTTGATGCAAAAGAAATGTGGAGTGATTGTAACAAGTCAGCCAGGTGGAGCTCATAGAATATGAGTTCCTTGATTGGGGCTGTTAATCTGATCTAATCAGGGAGCCCTGCCTGATAGATATAAACAGGAGTGTCAGGCATTCTGTTGACTCTGAGAGCTGGCTCTGAGGAAGCTGGATCAGTGTTTAAGATTCTCCATGTGTAAATAAAGGGTGACTTGGTGATGGAATACTGGCCTCAATGGAGTTATTTCAAAATGTCTCTGCACAAAATTGTAGGAAAATTGATCTAAGAATACTTTTTGATAAAATCCATGCTTTGCTTTTTTCAAAAGCAATTGTTTCCCTTGATGTGAATGGAATTTCTAGAAGGATATCTCTGGAAGGAGGTATACTAAAGTCCAATATTCAAAAGGTAGAAAAATCTGAGGTCTGTCATTGTAAACTTGGAGATTGCTATTTCTCATCTTGTACAGCTGTAAGATATTTAGTTAGCCCCTTGAATTTTTTTTTATGTGAAACAGAAACATTAGTAAATTAAATGAATGTTATGGACTTTGTGTGTAAGTATAAGGCAGATCCCAGAAGAAATATATGGTTATGACTGAGTGTGCCTGTCTCAGTTTAATGTTATGGAAAGTTGTTGTAGATCTATTGCACTTTCAAAGATTACATGTTTACTTTTGTTTGGTTTAAATAGCCTAAGGTTCTTCTTGGGAATTCACCTTATGGTATTTCAGAAGTTTGAAGAAAAGACGACAAGTAATGTAACATGAGGGAAGGGAATAAATTCTTTTGCAAGGATTGAGCCTTGGAATCACGGTTGCTGGTCAGAATTATGATTCCAAGATACTGTCATAACCACGTGGGGATTTTTAAAATCTGTATGTAAAGTCCACACATGTAAAGGGTGATTTTCCTTAATATTGATAATGCTTAAATTAGCATGTTTGCAGTGAATATCATTAATCTAGAGTTGGATTGATCTTTGGTTAGAAGTCCTGCGAACTTTAAAGATTTGAGCAATTTGTTCCTGATGCAACCTTCAAAAGAAAAAAAAAATTGACACTGCTAATTGGAACTCCCAAACTATTGGTCTGAATTTGACACAGTGACCTCAAAATGCTAAGAATGAGGAGAATTTGACAAAAATTGGTTTGAGAAAGAAGCTAAAAATAAGTTTGGAGGGAACTGACATTAATCCAAAATACTGCAGAACTTCTGTGAAAATAGTTTATTTCCCCGAAACGTTCAGTAAAAGAATAATTTGCTTTTAAAAAGATTAGCATTTGAAATAGAAGTGTGCTTACTATAGTTCAGAAAAGTACATTTTTTAGAAAAAAAACTATTTAAAATGACAAATTGGAGAAATTTTTGGTCTGCCTTTTGGATTAAAAGACAAAGTTAAGTTACATCATCAATCTAACTGTTACTATTTCAGATCACTGGATTAATTCCTTCTCCCTCAAGCAGAATGCATCTTTTATTCTTTTTGCTGATAGGTGGAACTACATTTCCAGTGACTTCAAGAATTTGATCAGATGTCAGAGACACAAAAAATTAAAAGTTTTTGCCAAAAGTTTATTATATATATGACACACCTTCCAGACTGATAGATGTATGGTTTTGGATATTATTATACTTTTCAAATTTCTAAAATTACACATATGGTTGGGCTTTACTAACCCTTTGGGTTTCTAACTAGAGCCACAGTGGATTTTTTTTTAATATAAACAGGTTTTGAAAGTCAACTAATTGTTGGTACCACAGCTAGAAATCAGGAGTCCTACAAATTCCAGAACATAATTGCAATTGCCACATTGAACTAAGCCTTTAACAAGTCCTTTCTGTTAATTTCTGACAGAGTATTTGAGAATGGAAGCAACATAAACTGATTGTAATCACTTGAGTCGCCAATGTAAAAGCACCATTTAAAACTTCCAAGCCTAGAAAGTTTCTGAGATAGTAGGAACTGAAGAAGGGTCTCAACCCGAAATGTCAGCTTTCCTGCTCCTCTGATGCTGCTTGGCCTGCTGTGTTCATCCAGCTCTACACCTTGTTATCTAAGAAAGTTTCTGAAATGTTTTCATGTTTCTGAAACTGGGATTGACAAATAACTTGATAAAAGTTGCTATATCAAGAACTCAAAATGAAACTTATATGAGGTTTAAGGGGACAACCAAATCTAAATATTAAGTTTTAATTTAAACAAAAATAAATGGAAACAATTTAGGTGTTTTAATCTGTACATTAAAGAAAGGAACAGTTGTTTTGGGAAGAAATTGATTAGACACTAACAAAACTGTTCAGTGCAACAATTGTTACTTAAATAATCAAACACGTTTCTTATGAGAAAACAAATATAAAGAACAACAAGCAAAATATGCTAATGCCTTGAACCACATGGGAATATTTGATTTCCATTTTGAAAATATTATGAAACATTTTCTTTATTGGGCGTCAATGTTTCTCCAGAGCTCCTGATTAATATAATTTAATCCCGATGGATTGTCCCACTCAGAAGAGAATGAAAACAAGTCAGCCTGGGTATAGTTCAATTGAATATATCAATTTGGTATTGATGTATATTCTAGGAAAAGGCAAATTCAGACTTGAACAGCCAAGAGAATAAGAACAAGAACGCTTAATAAGAATTATTCACTGGATGAATAGAGGTGAAGGGAGAGTTGGATGATCTTTAATGTCTATGCATAATATTTTAATATTTCAATATTATTGACAGGTAACTCATGAATAGGAAACTTGGCAAAACTCACCTCACTCATAGGCGAGAGGGTAAATAGAGAGATAAAGAATAAAAATGAGCCAGGGACACGGGAAATCTGAAATGATACGGATGGAAGGCCATAAAATGAGTATTACCAAAGAAGCACCCAAATCACCATGATCCTCAGACATAAGTGTCCAACCCTAGCCGTAATGAGAATCAGGCAGTGCACTGTCCCAAATAGATGCCTGGTCTTCTTAATAGTTGGTGTTGATATCCACTGGAAAAATAATGTACCATGATATGCACCATGTTGTTGTACCACGGAAGATAAACATAATGGAGATAGGAATCCCAGATTAGTGTGGTAAAAAGATAAGCAGTTCGCATGAGCAGCCATTGGATCAAATGCTGGATCAAGCCATTAACCCAGAATTTAGGGATAATGGCTGGAAATAGTACTACAAGTTTGCGGAGGATGAAACGAAATTAATAAGAAACAATGATATGGCCACAATACTTAACAAGGACACCTCATTATTGAAAAGTTCAGATTTGGCTTCTCTGAGTAAAGATTTAAAACTTTATAGAAAATATAAAGGGTATTTGACTAGAGAAAATATCAGTTAGGAATCTGAACTAAAAGAGGACCAAATTATGTTAGTTCACCTGATAAGCATGGTGGAGCAATTAGAGTATCATGCTCGGACTATCAAGAAACTCATCTGATAGGATGGAAATGCCATAGATGAGGCTGCCAGGAATAATGTGTGTGCCATATATCATTCCTGATTGTTAGGATATGCCTGTGAAAATATGAGTCAAATTTTTGAAAAAAGATTCCTCATGGGTTACTAATGACCATTTGGAAACATTGACTGAAAATGAAAACAACACTGGTTTCAGCTCAGAGGTTTGGTACTGGTAAATCTTGTATGGACAGATTGGGAAAGGAAAATCTTAAAGTGATGGGATTGGTATTTTATTTTCCAGTGATACCACATGAGATGACACCACTTCCAGTGAACAGGGTTGAGAAGACCAGAGTTTTGGAGGAGGATAAACATGTCAACATTATGAGATCCTACCATCTGTAGTGAATGTGGAGATTATATAATGGGAACTCCTCTAGAGGGTTGCAATACTGGAAGGAATACCACAGAAGTAAATTGCACCATGGAGTTAATGGAAGAAGTCTTCAAGCCAGGTCGCCAGAGCTGGTGAGTTTCTCCAGCATTCTCTGCGTTTGCTTCAAATTTGTAGCATCTGCAGTATTTTGCTTTTGTTCGAGTGTTATTAAACATGATTTCAAGTCTCCTAACAAAAACTTTTATTGAGTTTCACTACATAATATTTGTATAATTATAGGATTTTGGATGACTGTTTTTTGTTTCAGTTAGTCAGTTTAGATTTTGAGACATGTATTTTAGAAATTTGAAAGATTGTACATTAGACAGGCTATACCTCTCATAACAAATCAAAAGTAAAATTAACTGGGTTAAAAAGCTCAAATTACTATAGCTAAGGATTTATTTTTGTTGGATTAATTAGCAATGTAGTTATTTTTAATCATATCATATTGAACTTAGTTGTATACAATTTATCAATTTCATAATGATTCATTACACATATGCAAAGACAAACGAAGATAATAAATGCAAACCTTTTATTCCTCTAAAGCCTCTTGGGCCTATGTGTCCTACTGATCCCATTGTTCCTTTCATGCCAGGCAAGCCTGGCTTTCCTACCAGAAAAAAAATTAAAATGTTAGTTTGCCCAATACAGAAATATATAATGCTGTCAGCTTTAAAAATACATTTCCTGCAAGTTAAAACACAACCATTTCTCGCACTACAAAAAATTCTATAGTCTAAATCCTTTCACTTCACTATGTAAAAGTCCAATGGACAAAACCTATTCATTCACTCTCATTGTTTACAATCCAAAAAGATTAAATATTTTCCAATATGGAATCACAGACGTATTATGACACAGAAGAAGGTCACTCAGCTTATCGTGTCCGCTACAGCTTTTCAAATGAGCATTGTGATTTAGTGCCATTTTCCTGCATTTTCTTCTACCCTTGCACATTATTTCTACGCAAGTAATCATCTCAGGTGTTCTTGAATGCCTCAGTTGAATTGCCTCCACCACAAGTCTAGACAGTGCAGTCCAGACCTGAATCACTCATTATGTGAAAAAGACTTTTCTTACATTTATATTTGCTTCATTTGTAAATCACTTTAAATCGGTCCCCGTGCATACTTCATCTTTTAATGAATAGGAACAGTTTGTCCCTATCCACTCTTATCAGCACTGCCTCATGAGTTTGAAAACTTCTATCAGACTACCTCTTGGTTTTCTTCTCTACAAGGAGCATAGCCCCAACCTCTCCAATCTATTCTTACAACTCAAGTTTCTCATTTTAGAACCAATCTTGGAAATCTCTTCTGCATGCTCTACAATGCATTCATATCCTTCCTATAGTGCAGCACCCAGAACTGTACACAATACTCCAGCTGTAATAAATGTTTTATACAAATTCAGCATAACCTTGTTCTTGCACTCTGTGCCCCGATGAATAAAGCTGAGGGTATATATCTTATTGACTGCTCTCTCCACCTTCAATAATCTGTGCACAAATATACCCAGGTCCCACTGCTCCTGCATCCCCTTTAGAATTGTACACTTCATTTTGTGTTTTCTGTCTGTTCTTCCTACCAAAGTGCTTCACCTCACACTTCTTTTTTATTCCCATTATAGAGAATTCCAATGGATTGAAATGTTTTGAACTATATATAATTCAAATGATGAAACTCAATCCTCATTGGTTCCAATTTTATGTCATTGAAACGAGTCCCTTAATTTTCATAATACAGAATTCCAAGGAAAGCAAAATACCGTTTTTAATTAAATTATCTCATGAGATGTCAGCATTACTGGCATGGCCAGTATTGGTTGATTATCCTAATTGAAATTAGATGGTGGTGGTGAACTGCTGCTTTGAACCACTGCAATTCATCTGCTTTTGCACAACTTTAGAACTTTTCGGAAGGTAGTCACTGAATTTAGATCCAGTGACAGTGAAGGAATGGCAGTGCAGCTTAAAATCATAATGGCATGTGGCTTGCAGGGACTTCAGGGAGACAGGAAGTGAGTTATTTGCTGCAGAATTCCCAGCCTCTGGTTTGCGCTTGCAACCACTGTATTTTAATGGCTAGTCCAGTTCAATTTCTGGCCGACGGTAAACCCTGGATGTTGATGGTGGGGGAATTCGGCAATGGTAATGCCTTTGAGGGTCAAGAGAAGATGATTAGATTCTATCTTGTTGGCAATTGTGAGGTGCAAATGCCACTTGCCATTGTATTGTCCAGATCTTGATGCAGATGCAATGAACTGTTTCAGTATTTAAGTGGAACAAATGGTACTGACCATTGCACAACTATCAATGAACATTCCCGCTTCTAACGTTATGACGAACGGAAAGTCATCAATGAAGCAGCTAAAGATGGTTGGGTCTGGGATATGCTGATGAACTCCTGCATCAACAACCTGGGAGAGAGGTGATTAGTTGCTAACAACCATAACCATCTTGCTTTATTCTTGGAGAGTTTTCCCCTTAATGGCACCCTTAATCAAATGGTTCCTTGATATCAAGAACAGTCACTTTTACATTATCTCAGGAAGATCCAAGTGTTGTAGCTGTACTGGAATAGCTTGGCCAGGAGTGCTTATAGTTTGGGAACTGTTCAGTACAATTGCTGGGATTTTAAAATTATTTATTCTTTTATAAGATGTAGTGTCAGTGGTAATGGTAGCATTTATTGTCTAGCCAATAAATACTTTGAAATGACTGCTTGCTTAGCCATTTCAGTGGGCAGTTAAGAGTCAACTGCATTACTGTCTGTCTGGAGTCACATGTAGGCCCCTATTGGCCAAGGATGGTAGATTTCTTTCCCTAAAGAATATTAATGAACCAGATGTATATATGTCAGTTTCATGGTCACCATTACTGAGACTAAAATTTTTCAATTGAATTTAAATTCATTCGATTACCATTGGTAGGATTTGAACCCATGCCACAGAACATTAATCTGGGCTTCTGATTTACTAGTTCATCAACACCACAACTATGCAACTGTCTAGCTACTCCTGTTGTCAGGACTCACATCCTGTCTTATATCTAATACCTCCAACCATTTCTTCATATCATGCTGTGTTATGACACTGGTAAGTGTGGGCTATCACATTTTAACTTGCATCATCTGATTGTTACACCTAAGACCTTTCATAAAGTGGAATGGTTTTTAAAAAGAATAAAACATTGATCTAAAATGGCTACACAGGTCACTTGACTATAGATTCAGGCAAGCTTCATGTGATCCATGTAGAATAAATGAAGCTACCTGCACTGAAATAAAGACAATAGTTTTGATGTGGAAGATGTAAGATTTGCTTGCCTGTTAGCCAGCTTGGGAAGACAATACGGCCACACTCCAAAATACACATTGAACTATATTTCAACATCTGCTTTTGAGCAGAGAAAAGGAAAAATTGCTTTGTAAGCAATAATGGGAAGACTCTCTCTCTCCGCTTGTTTCTTTTGTCAACTATGAAAACAGGACTCAGTGAGAAAGCAAACTGGACAAACAACCATTCACCAAGAAATCAGAGATCAACAGACTTTGCCAAATTGTGGTTTCAGGTAGTAACTGCTAAAGAGCTGAAAGGACCTTTTAAACTGTGTAACCTTTATTCCCTCTATCTGTAATAGACACTGTGTTAATATTATTACCATTGTTTGTGCATGTGTGTTTAATGTTGTGTTTTCATTATGTTTCCTAAGGATTAGTAGAGAATAAAATTCCTCTTTCTTTCACTCAAGAACATCCTGACATTTGGCTACATCATTTTCTAGAAAACTATATTTTAAATTAAGTGTAACAGATGCATGCTAAAAAGAAATAAAAAATATTTAAATGACAGGGAAGCTGATTCCTCCCTCTCATCTGGTTATAATAGCAGAGTGAATGGAATTGATTGAAAACTGATACCTGTGATCTTGGATATCTAAAGAGGAGGCCATGATAGCTCATCCGATCAGCACTTCTGGCTAAAAATGATTGCAAATGCTTCAGCCTTGTTTTTTGCATTGAAGATGAGGATATATGTGGACTCTCCTCTTTTGGTTAGTTATTTAATGATTTACTACCATTCACAACTGAATGAGGCACAACTGCAGAGCTTTGATCTGATGCAGTTGTTGTGGAATCACTTATCTCTGTCTGCTGCTTCCACT